GGCCTTCAGCCTGACTCCTAGATCCTTCAACAATATGCCTCGTCTTCTCCTTAAATAGTAAAGCATCATAGATCTCTTCCATAGAGAAAGTATCTCGACTATAAAGAATAGTGTCTCTAAAAGTCACATATGATGATGACAACAAACACAACAATATCAAAGTCAAGTCCTTCTCGTCATACCTAATTTCCAGTGTCTCCAAATTGAAAACGATTTATTTAAACATAGTTAAGTGATTATCTAATGACGTACCTTTGGACATTCGATGAGAATACAAAAGTTGTTTCAAGCGTAACTTGCTGGTCAAGCTTTTTATCATACAAAATTGCTCCAACTTCAACCACAATGTGGCGGCACATTTTTCCTTTAGAACATCTTGAAAATTTTGATTTAATAGATGTGGATGAACTTTAGATTTGGCTTTTTCGATCCCTACACTGCTTTTCATCATGCATCAAGGTTGAAGGCATCTTATCAAAGCCATGCAAGGCTTCCTCCAAATTTGAGTGAGAACTGCTTGCATTTTCACTTTCCATAAAGTAAATATCATGTTTTGATTCAATAATAGAATATCATATTTTATCGTTGCCGTGTGGAATAATCAATCTTGCTCTGATATCACTTGTTATGAATTGAGCGCAAGATAATGATAATAATGAAATAAACAAGAATAAACTAAGAACACTAAGATTTATGTGAAAAGCAAAAGGGAAAAATCCACAAATAGATGAGGAAAAAATCGCTATAATCAATAGTAATTGTGTTTACAACAAGTTCTTAATACTCTTAGTTAATTTCTAAATCTCTCAAGATGTTTTATGAATGCTATCGGAACAATACAAGCCCTGACTCAATATATATAAACCCTAGAAATCCAGTTGTAGATGAATAATAGTCCAAAAAACGATTCAAAATGCGAAATGGGCTTGGGTTGGATAACCCTGGTGCTCGATGGGCAATAGCTCTGTCGTTAGAATGCTAGCAAGTGACAAGTCTCCTGATAAAATATGCAAGAGTGGCTCCAGCGGCTTGCTGGGCTGGTAAAAATGAGATGACTTTTCTTTTCGATTCATAATTTTGATCTCTTTGAGACCACTTCAATCAAAACTCAAATACTCACTAGAACTTAGGTTAAACTACAACACTTGAATACATGTTTTAGAAAATGAGTCACTTCCAAACATTTGTTCTTTGCTCTCTCTCTTCTTTCTTTTTTGAATTGTTATATTTTGGTTCAGAGTTGTTAAATATGTCAAATTTTCCGTTTTGGATAGTCTAGCACTGCCTTGCATGACACGATACATAGAAAAGCACAATCTACAAGACGGAAAATAATTGAACATGATTAACGAAGAAAGTAATGTAATAAAAGTTTTAATTCATGTGAAATATTGATTTGGTGACTCAATTTTTAGGTTGTACAACTTGATTTGTCATGGCTCGTATTGAGCTTGAATATAGAGTTCGAAGCCTAGATAAATATCTTTATGTAATTGATAAACTTAAAAAATTGTAAAGAAATCAAGTAGTAGGGAAATAACAATTTCATTACGGTATATAATATATTGAAAAAAATGTACTCAATGAAATTGATAATGAAGATATTATATGACTTATTAAAAGTATGAAAATTAATAAGGAACAATTGTAAATAGGAGATTTAATATTACATTTTGGTCTTATTTGAAAAAATAAAAATAAAAATGCTCAATTGGATTTTAACCCACTGAAACAAGTGTCATAAAAGGCATAATGCATGGTGATGCGTAGAGGTCAAGCTATGAACTAGGCAAGCTTAGATAAGACTTAGGTCTAAAAAAGTGTAAAAAGATGTTTTTTATTTTATTTTTTTATTTTAATACTATTTTCATTTTTAATCAATAAAAAAATCATTTGATAATTAAAAATAATAACTAAGAAATATCTAAAACAGATTTATAAGAATTTTATACATTTTTTCATAATTTCCAACAAAAAATAAGTTTCATATGTAATTACTAAATAATAAGTAAATAGGAATTTTTAGGAGTTTTCCTTTATTTAAATTTCAAGCAGCTGTTTTGAATTTAGGGCACACGAAGTGAAGAAATTAGCTTTTAAGTTTTAACCTAAAAGAATTTTTAAAAAATAAAAAAAAGCACCTAGGCGTGCATTAATGGTCAACGACGACTCGTTGACCACTAAATAAGACTTGGCTTGGCGTTTCTGCCATGCATCACGCTTGGGCGCGCCTTTTAGAATACTAATTGAGACTGAGTGGATCCGTTCCAGTCTAAGGTGAATATGACTATATAAGAGAAAATGAAAGAAAATTGATGTTTTTATAAGTTAATGTGCACTAGCAAGGGTTTGTGCACGATTACAGGTCATCAATCTAAATCGTGGGGGTAAACTTGGAAATAAAGTTACAGAAGTCCAAAATCACGAGGAATTAGTCGTTGGATTTCTTGCAATGGTTTGTAGTCAGAGGTGGCTCAAGTGATTTGGAAACTTTAGGTGAAAATTTGAAGCAAGAGTAACAGTTGTGTTCTAGCTTTATCAACCTTCCTCGTGCCAAACTTGGCTATTGCAACTATGACACGAGGATCCTAGTTACATCTTCTGTATACATCTCTACTATTAGTTTTTTTTGATGAAGCCTAGGCACCATCTCAATTGAAGCAGCCCCGAGAATACCAGTAGTGGGGCTCTCTAGCCTCCCTAAGCAGAGGTCATTTGTAAGCCCTTGCATATTAAGATCAACTTATGTTTAAAGGTCTCATTTCTCAGATGTTGGTCACCAGTACTCGCTCATTAGAGCCGACCAATGTTTATAGGCTATATGTAAGTCTTCGTGCCTCGGAGATTGTTTGCCAATACGCATTTAGAGGTCGACTCATAGTTCATAGGTAATTCATAAATCCTTTCCTAATTGAGGATATCTCATATTTCAAAGATTTATCTCGAGTCTTACAATGCTCGGGGCAATCTAGCAAAATTTGTATTCATATATATGTTAGAACCACATCTTTGTTGAAAAAACAATTCTATCTTTTAAAAAATAGAAAATAGAAGAAACGTCGACAACACTCCTAAGTGCAACTATTGTCCTTGCAAATATACATATCTAGCTTGAGAGTCAACTTGATTTTGAAATGCTAGCTTTCGCCATACAATTTATCAATTTCCTAATTTAAGCTGTTTTGTGATACATGCTTGTGTTATTCGATTGCAAAACTTGATTCTCGTAACTTAATGCACATTAACGATGGCTAATACATGATTTCTCAATCTCACCTTATTTCTCACGGACTCACCCTAGTAAAAGTCATGCTAATAAAGTTGTGATTAAAATTATAAAAAGACAAAATCGTGGATTGCATAGCAAACAAATCTTTGAGTCTTATCATATTCTTACTTAAAATTAAGCCCCTGTTTAAGCTATATTATTTTCAAAAAAATATATTCTGCAACAGTGATTTGACATCATTTTAATCACACATTTTTCAATAAAATAATATTACACACAAATTTAAAACTTTTCCTTATTTTTAACAACACATTCTTTATTGATTTAACATTAATAATGCATTTTTTTCTCTTTAATGTGGCTCAAACAAGCCTTAAATTAAATTGTACGACACTAAAAACGTCAATATTTATGGTGGAATGAGTGCATGGTTTATTGAGGGCCAGTGAGGTTAACTAACTAGTCAAACTATTAAATACGACAATGATAGCTTACATAATTAATGTCTAACATATTTTTAGATATTTTTTTTCCAATAAATGGCACGATAAGTTGATTTATCTTTACGAATTTCGCCAATTTGTTTGTCTTGGTCACTTTGATGATGCATTAACTTCTATCTGATATTTGATTGAACCATTTAACCTTACTTGAGTGCTCTAGTCTGTAGAAGCCTTGTTGTCGCGTACTTTGTCTCCTTTTGGCCCCCTTTTTTTTAATATTTAGCTCTTGTTTGAGCCCTATTTTTGTGAAGAAAATAAATTTTTGAATAATATATTGATGAGAAATATGTGGTTAAAAATAAAAAAAGATTTTAGATTTGCGTATAATATTATTTTATTGAAAAATGTATGGTTGAAAAAATGTCAAATCACTGTTGAACAATGTATTTTGATGAAAAAATAGGGCTCAAACAAGGGCTTAATGTATGGAATAATATTTTTTTTGAAGAATGTTTAATTAAAAAGTAAGAATTTTTTATTTATTTATATGTAATATTAATTTATGAAAAATTATGTGATTTAAAATAAAAGTGAGAAGAAAAATTTAAAGAAAAATGGGGTCAAACGGGACTTTGTGCAAGATTCTTAAAATTTGTACACGCACCTTTATGATAAGGAAAAAGTGATAAAAAATGCTTTCCCAAATCAAGGAGGCACACAAGATGACCAGCACACCAAATTGAGTCACATATTTGATTTCTAAATTTAGATCTACACACAAACTCCAAACGTCATTAATTGAAAGCCGGTCAAAAATTTGATTTATTGTATTGTCCTTTCTAAGCTCTCATTTGATAACAATTTTTCATTCAAAAAACTTAATTTTTTAATCGTTATTTCTTTATTTCAGATATCATTTTTATTTTTTCACTTACAGGTAGAATTTACTTTTCTTTCTAACGATCAAAAAATAAATTCAAAATCACTATCGAATAGACCTTAAATAAAGGTCGTCCTTTCGTCAATCAAATTCGATTGAGATGAGATTTACAAAAATAAAAATATTAGCTCCTTACACCGAAAAATCAATTTAAGATGTAAAATTACTAGAAACAATTATTATTATTATTATTTTTTTCAAATTTGGTAATAGTCAACAAGGAAACCGACACGTGTCAGTCTTTCACAAAGTATTTACTGTGGATGTTTTGACAAATAAATTTTCCTATTACTGGTTTTATCGGGTTCCAGTCAGTGAAAGACAAAAAATAAAGGGTAAAACAAAACACATTTATAAGTACGCAAAAGGCCCTCGCATTTTTCAAATTTTAAAAAGCCCTCTCGGATAAGACCACACGTTCACTTTCTCTCTCTAGGGTTTAAAATCAACTGCTCAAATTAACCCCCTTCTCTCTCTAAGCTCGTGTAAGTCTGTCCATCTCTGTGTGAAATTATTATATACTGTGTTTAAGTATGAATTTTATCTTATGCACCAGTTGAAATTATGACATGTCTTTGGGAAATTCGTGTTTTAGATTCTGTAGTTTATTGGGTTTTAAGGGCTTGTAAATTTTGAAATTTTTGGTCATTCTGAATGGATTTGCGGCTTTACATAGTTAATTCTGTAGATATATGCGTTGACATGTTTACATTCTCGTACATGAATAGAAATGGATGGTTTATTCTTATATAATATTTTGAAGTCTAGTTTAGTTAATTTATATGGTATTAATGGTTTGAAGTTCGTGAAAACTTTCTTAATTTGTCTAGCTCTCGAATTCACTGGAAAATGGTTCTATTTCTATTTGATCAATGGGAGATGGCAGAGGATTTTTTTTCCCCTCTCTCGTGTTCTTAATTACAAATGTACTGTAATTTTTCGAATAGTAATTTAAATTTAATATAGAATTGTTTTACTGGGTTTTAGGGTTTCTGATTCTCCTATAATTATCCTAGAGAAATGAATTCGTTTTATTTGTTTGAATTTGCAGAATCTTGGATGTAACATGGTTGGGCATTTCTTTGATCAAACCATAGTTCATGATCTACAAAACTTGTTAATACCGCGTCTTCTCTTGAACTGAACACATGGTTCATACTGAGCAAGAGAACAACGGATGTGCTGGTGGTAGTGGTAATGGGAGTGGAATAATGGCGTTCAATGTTGATTTTACTGCAAATGGCAGTGCAATTAAAGTTGAAACTAGTGGTACAAATTCCACTGGGTTGGATGGCTATTCTTTGCGTACATACAAGAGGCGAAAAAGTTTGAAAGCCACAGAGGGTGGGAAGGGTTTGGAAGATTCAGTGAGTCAAATTACTGAAAAGGTGTCAATTTCTTTTGTTAAATTTAGCTTTTTTTATTTTTTTCTCAACGTACTTTGTAAATTTCTCTGTGCATTTGTATTCTGCTTACAATGGACTAAGCTGTGTGTGCTTTTAATCGCCCTGTTCCTTATTTTGAGGCGTTCACATAGGGAATGTTGGTTGAAGACTCGTGGCTGGTGAAAGTCTCTGAATATTTTCTATCTGATAACCTCACATGCTAAGCTAGTTTACTCGTCAGGAAAAGAAAAATAGGAGAACAATAACCTCAAAAGAAATCATGGGGTAGGATTTTGAAGATTTGGTATTAAGGGGAGGTGAGCACTGGTGGAATTTATTTATAAGAAACTGTTACATATTGAAGAATATTATTTCAAAGAAGATGCATACTGTTTGATTATAACCGAGCCTTTCTACAAAAGCACTGGTTAACACAGAAAAGGAACAATGAGACGTGAAAATACACGAGTTGGCTAGGTATCCTCCAAGAGAACGGCTTTTACGTCACCTTATACTGACTGCACAATCAGTAGATGAGGTCTAGTACACTCTCACCAGTATTACCAAGGATCTGGAAAATTCATTAGAAGTGAAGTGATGGGCAGAAAGTGAAAACTCCTCTAGAATAAGAGGGTCGCTTGAATACAGGGTAATTCTTTGATAACGATCCTTCTCACGACCTTTTTCTTGTCAAAAATAGTGAATTTTTAAAATGTTGCTGGATTAAGTAGAAGACAACGAATAGGATCAATGTATAAAAAGTGTAATTGGTTTTTGGGGCATTTTTCTTTTGTTACGCTCGAGGCATCTTTCAGGTGTAAGCCTCATTATAAATTAAAAAAAAACTTAGTTAAAAATATATAAAATGCAAAATTAAGCTTGTAATAAACCAAAAACAAAATTTAAATTCATAAAAAACAAATAAATCTGTAGAGTAGCAAAATTAAATTAGTCTCTACTCGGTAAATCTTATTATATCTTGCAGTTATGACTTATGAGATTTTTTTAAATAGGGAATCAAATATTTTTATGAATTAAAGGATAATATGCATGCAGCGTATTATCAATTTGAACAAGAAATAAATAACATTAAATTAAGCGGTCTTTTTATAGGATTAGTAGCTGTAGTATTAAACGAAGTATGCAAAGTTAGATAGAACAATTCTCTGATCTGCTTTGTTGTCTGCGTTTGGTCTTCAAATTAACGACCGTTCCTTTCTCTCTACACAGACATGTCCCCATACAATGCATCCCGGATTAAGATCCCAAATAAGCTTGCTATGCTTATTACGGAACTTTTTCCTTCACACCCGCAACAGTCCATAGTACTCCTAGGCAACATTTAATGCATATGTTTGAGAAGTCAAAATACTGTTCCAGAGCTAATGGACATCATCACAATAAATGAGAAAGTGGTCAATTGTCTTCAATCCCTTACACATATAACACCACTTGGTAACATAACAATCTTTTCTTCGAAGATTATCCACCATTAACATCTGTTCCCTCATAACCGTCCACGGTAAACAAAGTTACCCATGGAGGCAGTTTACAATGTCACATCATCTTCTAGGGGAATGAACTCTCCAGAGGTCCTAATACAAATCTAAAATAAGTGCAAACTGAAAACACCCTCTACATCCACCCTCTCCTTCCCGAATCTGCACCTCATGCAAGGAGGTCAAAAACAGTGCGTAATAATCAAATTCTTGTATTTAGTTAGAGCATGCATACCTTTTTTCTAAACATTATAAGAAAAAATTGAAGAAAGAAAAGAGGGGAGACGGAGAGTCGGGTTGAACACGAGGCAAAAATTGAGATGAAGGAGGCGAGTATAGGGGTGTTCTCTATATTGATTTCTTTCAAAAATTGCGAGGATGGATTTCTGTGGATGTTCACAGGAGTTTATGGGCCTAATTCTGATGTTAGTAGAGTGAGCTTGTGGGATGAACTGGCTAGAATGAGGGCTTGGTGGAATCTCCCTACATGTATTGGGGGTGATTTCAATGTGATTCGATTTCCTTCGGAGAGGTCGAGTGGTGGGAGACTAACTAGGGTAATGGAGGAGTTCTCCGATTTTATTAGGGAGAATTTGTTGGTGGATTTACCCATGATTGGGGGAGATTTTACCTGGTCATCTAATTGGGATCGACCCGTCTTGTCTCGTATTGATAGGTTCTTTATTGGTGGGGAGTGGGAGTCCAAATATTCAGATGTCACTCAGAGAAGATTGGGAAGGGTGTACTCGGATCATTTTCCTATTATGTTCTCGGGGAATAGGAGGGGTGGTGGAAGAAGACCTTTTAGGTTTGAGAAGATGTGGTTGAAAGTAGAAAGTTTTAGGGAGCGAGTACAGATGTGGTGTACTTCCTATGAAGTCAGTGGGTCTCCTTGTTTTGTATTGAATCAGAAGCTAAAGGCGTTGAAAGGGGACTTAAAGAAATGGAATGAGGAAGTTGTGGGCAATGTTAACTGTAGTACAAATCAGTGTTTGTCAGAGATAGAGGAGTTGGATAGGCGGGAGGAGAGTCAAGGGTTGGCTGGTGAGGAGAAGGAGAGACAGAGTATTAAAGGAAGAGATGGAGATGGAGATGTTGGTGGAGATGGAGGAGATGACTTGGCGACAGAAATCTAGAGTTACTTGGTTGAAAAAGGGGGATAAATGCACTAAGTTCTTCCACAGGGTCGCTAATTCTAATAGGAGGAACAACTCCATCATAGTTTTGGAGGTGAACGGGGTTACTTATGAGGAACCACAGGAAATTGGAAGCCAACTAGTGAATTTTTATCAGAACCGCTATCGGGAGCAATTTGAATGGAGGTCAGGATTGGAGGGATTGCACTTTTCTACTATCACGGAGGATGATGCCCGATGGATGGAGAGACCATTTGAGGAGGATGAAATTAAGGAGGTAGTGTTCAGCATGAACGATGATAAGGCTCTGGGACTGGACAGTTTCTCGTTCTCATTCTACAAGGCGTGCTTGGATGTGGTTCGACTGGACATTGTGAATACTTTATCTTATTTTTTTGAACGTGGCAGATTTTAGAGAAGTTCAAACGCTACATTTATTGTGCTCATCCCTGAGAAATCGGGAGCGACTGATATTAAGGATTTTCACCCCATTAGCCTTCTCAGTGGGGTGTATAAGATTATTGCGAAAGTCCTGGCAAACAGATTAAAGGAGGTGCTTGGAAAAGTAGTGTCCAAGTTTCAGAATGCATTTGTAAAAGGGCGTTAGATTTTGGACTCCGTGCTTATAGTGAATGAATGCATAGATTCAAGAATATGTCTAAGGGATGCTTTGTAAGCTAGATATTCAGAAGGCTTACGATCATGTAAATTGGGGATTCCTGTTGTATATGCTCAGGCGCTGTGGCTTTGGGGGATAAATGGTGTAAATGGATTCAATTCTGTATTTTTACTGTTTCATTCTCAGTTTTGATCAACGGAACACCTGAGGGTTATTTCCGAAACAGTAGAGGCTTGAGACAAGGGGATCCATTGTCCCTATTGTTATTTGTCACTGTGATGGAGGCTTTCAGTAGGATGATTGAAAGAGCCGTGAGAGCGGGTTTGATTGAAAGAGCCGTGAGAGCGGGTTTGATAGTGCCTCAGTGCCCACTACTATGGTGATTGATTTCTTAGACATTCATAATGGGAATTACAGCTGGAATTTTACTTTTGGGAGGGATCTACAGGATTGGAAATTGGAAGATTATTCGCTGTTTATGACCTTTTTACATGAGGCACAAATTCGAGTTGGAGAGAGGGATTGCATCAGGTGGAGGGCAACACGGGATGACATTTTTTCAGTTCGCTCGTATTTTGGTTCTCTCATGGGATGTGTGAATAATTCATTCTCCTGGAAGCTGGTGTGGCAGTGTAAATTGCCTCCTCGGGTGGCATTCTTAATGTGGACAGTTGTGAGGGGACAGGTCTCAACGGTGGATAATCTTCGACGTAAAGGCTTCTACATAACCGAGTGGTGTTATATGTAAAAGAAGGATGGGGAGACAATCGATCATTTGTTCATTCATTGTGATGGTGTACGTTGGATTTGGAACAGTATACTTATTTCTCAATCTATGGATTGGGAGATGCCTCGTCGTATAGAGGATGTAATATGGGCATGGCTGAGAAAATTTCGTGATAAGGATAGCAAACTAGCATGACACCTTATCCTGAACTACATTGTATGGTGTTTGTGGAGAGAAAGGAACAACCGTTGTTTCGAAGACCAAACAAAGACAAGAGAGCAGTGTGGCTAGAAATCCTGTAGATGGGTTGCCTAATTTCATGTTGTTCGTTAATGGCTTAAAGTGATTGTACACTCCCCGTGTATTCTCTTTTAAGTAATAAAATTATCCGATTATCTATAAAAAAAATAAAATAAAAATAATCGAAACAAGAAATCAGAAAAAAGGAGAAAAAAAAAAACCATGCAGTTTGAGTGTCATTGTTGGTAACTACCTGTTGCCACTGCCTTCTGGTCATTGCTGGATTCTTGGCATCAGATCTCAACAGATAGCTTTTGCTTGTAGTTTTGTTATCTAGTCCTCTTCCTTTTGCATTCTAATTTTATTTTATTTATATGACTGCTTTTATTGTTAACATAATGGTATTGGACTTTCCAATACACATTTAACAAATGCAATGATGGGTTTTTAATTAGTGTGGTTCTCAAGCTAAAAAAAACTAAACAAAAAAGATGAGTGCATGCCGCAAAGAGTATGAGGCATGCTATGTGAGGCTTACACTTCTATTAGTTGAGGCGTAATCCTTATAAATGGTCTTTAGAATTTGTGCCTTAATACTTTCTAATTGCATCTCGAGATCAGGTGTGCCCCAAAATGATTTTTTTAAAACCATGCGTAAGATACATCAATTTGACTGAATGAAAGTGGACTATAAAAATGAATTCACATTGTGAGTCTTGGCTGTTCTTCTATGTTGACAATGAATGGGAATCAATGAACTTTTATATTTGAAATATTTAATA